ATTTTCTTATATTGGATTTACAAAAGAAGCTTGTTAAAGCTTTGAAGAATTTTGTGAGAAGGGACAAAGAAAAAATGAAAAGAAATCAACTTTTAGGACATTATATAAAGGGACTAAAGATCAGGATAGTTAAAAATAAAAGGAAGGAATATAAAGTTAGTTTATCTGATCAAGGTTAAAATAGATATGTTGTTATCTCTGGTAACCCTTAATGGACTTTTGCTGATCAGGACTTGGATGATGAGGTTTTAAGGATTTGTTTATAGATAAGAGATGGGATATGGGAAGAAGAGATCATTTGTTGTATTTTAAGAGAAGGCAATAAATTACTAAAATGGTTTATACTTTTGTGATGAAGGGGGAAGTCATTTCTTTATATATTTCTTTTCTTTTTCTTTACTATATTCTTATTTTTTCTTTCTTTTCTATTTTTTTCCATTTTCTTTTTCTTTTCTGCACCTTCTTTTTTTATTTTTTTAGTTTGCATTAGTTTTTTATCATCGCAGTTGCAATTTTTAATAAAATTACCATTAAAAAAAGATTGTTTGCAAGTAGACCTCTAGGAAAGTGAAGCAATTGAATTCTCTGAGCCTGGGAATGAGACCAAACTAAGGCAGAACAAGAATAGTTAGTCATTCTGTTTGTTTCACATTAACGGGTGCTCTTCTCTTCCTCGAATCAAGTGAAAGTGAGAAAGAGGATCAGAGGCCTTAAGGAGAACCCATTTTAATGTATTTGCTGATAAAAGTGAGGTTAAAGTACACAAATCTCTATTTTCCAACCCTCCTTTCTTGGAATACATCTGACAAGATTTTAGGGGAAATTAATTTCTTGGTTGCTGTTGGGGACTTGACAAAATCCAGTTTCTCTGGATTCTGGAATCTGGATTGGAAACCATTCTGGAATCTGAATGTGCCTATCCACAGATAACTTTAGGCAAGTAGGGTTCTGCTACCTCAGATCTCTACACTAAGGATGTTGATGATGGAAGAGAAGAGTTGGGGGAACCACATCACTGGTGAAACCTGTCCCATGTTTGAAAACCTCATGCACTTGGTTTTCCTCTGTGTACAATTGTTTCATACAAGAGACTCATGTGACAATCAGATGCTTACTCCTCCCAGCTATCAAAAACTGCTTATCTATGGATCTTACTGGAAATACAGATTGTGCCCAGTTCCTGGGACATGCTTAACTGAGTCAGTGGGAAGGGATTATTAAAGATGTCCTGGGAACACTAGAAAGAAGTCCGCATAGTCAACTAACTTGAAGGGCAATAATTTAACCCCAAACAGATCCAGTCATGCAGGGGTCAAACTGACTTCAGCTCCTTAGTTGTGAGGGGAGAAGCCAGTCAGTTGCCCAGTCTTGCCTTTCTAGTCCTCCATGAAAAAGAGCTGGAGTGAAGGAGTGGCTGTAAAACCAAGGCTCTCCATTATAAATCACACTGTCAAGGCTTAGCAGCACAGAATGCATCTCCCTACATCAGTGTTTCTCAACTTTGGCAACTTTAAGATGGGTGGACTTCAACTCCCAGAATTCCCCAGCCGGCGTGCTGGTATAAACTTATTCATACTTTCCTGGTGCAAGGATTCATGGGATACTATCAAAACTGGAGATGTTCGACCCAGTTAATATGATTGGGTTCTCCCACAACCACTGGTAATATTTGACCAGGTCTTTTGAAAGGTAGTCTGGCGCTCATAGATTAGGGTTACCATCTCTGGGCTGAAAAGCTATGGATGACACTAGGTGACAGCAAAGAGACACATTAGACTGTAACCCTCTGCTGCCATCTCGTGGTCATTTGGAGTCTTGCAGCCCAGATATGGTAGCCCTAGCATTAATCTAAGCTGAATGCTGCACCTTGTATTTTCCTATGCAGGCTAGACCCAGAAATGAATTAAAACTAAATTAAATCATTAATTTAAATCATAAATGTAATTGTTAATTAAATGCTAGTAGTACGATTGTGCCCTCCTGAAGTTGTGAATGAGTCACCACCCACTTTTGTAAGGAAAAGTAATCTACTAAATTTAGTAACTTGTAAAGAGGGCCTCTTCTGTTCTGATGCTACAGTTTAGCTTCACTTGATAGGAATTTTGCAAGGCTCTGTTTTAAAATACAGAAGTGCCTTTACACATCTTACACCAATTCTTTCTGGGGTTTTACTGCAGCAAGTGGGACTTGCAACAAATCAGTGTGAATTTGTTCTCTCTCGGAGTTCTAGTTAACCATGCCCAATTCTAGAATATGTCATATGTGTTGTGAAGCCAGACAGGATAATAACTATCAGCACAAAACATGAAACAAGAATAAAACTGTCTTTGTGCTCTATCTTAACTGGGCTCACACAGTATCCTAAGCCTTCAACCAGTCCAGTCTATGATGGCTGGATTCAACACTCTTAAAATCAAACAGACCACATTATGGGTCAACTTGTTATGAAAATAAAGCCATTATATGCATCTTTTTTTAATGTTTTAATTCAGGTATTGGCTTTCTATTTTCTTTCATTGTTAACCACCCTTTTCCATGGCAGAAAGGTAGAATATACATCCAAGACTTGGATTAATAGGTAGACGTATTTATGAGGCCCTGGATGTGTTTTCCACCCTCCATGTCTACAATCACGGCATCTGATGTTTCATCCATAAGACGTGACCCCTTACCTGACACAGGTGATGCACGGCTTCCATTTGCTGATGTCTTCGTTGTTGCAAGGCTTGTCCATGTCCCCGTGGGCAAAAGCCACCAGCCACCACACCATGGCAAAGAACAACCAGCTGCACAGGAAGGACATGGTGAAGATGACCAAAGTGTGGCGCCATTTGAGGTCCACCAAGGTGGTAAAGATATCTTGCAGGAAACGTCCCTGCTCACGGATATTCTTGTGGGCCAGGTTGCAAGCCCCATTTTTGGCAATGAAGCGAGCTTTGCGTGGGCGGTCTCGAATGCGCGGCTTGCCCAAATTCTCAGCCGCAATGCGTGCAAGAACATATTCTTCTGGAATAATGCTCTTCCGGGCCAACATCTTCCTGCCACCATAGCCCAATGATTGGTATACGAAAAACTCCTTTTATGTTTCTCAGATCCTGTAAAGAGAAATAAGAGATGTATTCCTCCTCTTTTTCTTCCCTTTTTCTGATACAAACAATATTCCAAAACTAAGAAAGGCATCCCAAAGAGATCAGTCTGGAGAATTCCCACTTGAGAATACTTATAAGATCTATGCAGATATTTGGAATTCTGGGCTGGATTTTGCTGCACTATCTTCCTGAACCTAGAGGACTTCCCTTTGTTTTTAACTCACTAATCTTTCTTTGCAGAAGTGTTTATTTTGTACTGTAAATGTGAGCTAACTGGCTAACGGTTGGAGTGGATTTTAAGAATGTCATAATAGTTTATAAAGAAATTGATCAATAAAATGCTGTTCACACCATTCCCATATAAATACTTGAACTCTGGGTCTCCCAAGAAGTTATTTACAACTCCAGGTTAAGAAATAATAATACGAATAGGGAAAATAAAAATGCTTCATCCAAGGAAAGTCCCTGAAATGTCCTATGACTTTTCCTCTAACCCACATCTAGGATCAAGATAATCACGTGTCGAAGACACCCCAGCTAAATATTTCCTTGGAAATGCCCCCAATGGTGCTGTAATGTGGCCTTCTAGTTTTATTTTAAATAAGATCTAAATGATGCCATTGCACTTCACCTGAATGTTTCCTCTTTGGACATTTGCAAGTCTGATCGGACCCTTCCAGCTGCATCAGCCATTCAAGTTAAGACCTAGTTTGAAAAGCAGCTGATGAAAATGGCCCAAATACAAGCCCCATTTAGACAACAACCATCTGGAGGCCAAAGATTTGGTAGCCTCACGGATCATGCCTTGTGAAAACAGTGACATAGTAGAGAAGCTGCTTCTCTGTGTACAGCAGAGTCCCTTACATGGGAACATCGCAGAATCCACGTGTCTCCCATGAAAACCTTCCTTGGGGGCATGGCTGGAGCAAGAATGTAAATGTTTGCAATGTGACAGTCAAAGCCCTAGTACAGGAAGATGGTCTTCTGTGGCTCCTGGGAATGGCTGCCAGGGCATTCAATGCCAGGAATTTATCTCCACTCTGGGTGCCCTCTAAGATACTTTGTCTTTCAGAGTTCAGGGCCAAGGCAATGCTGCTTGGGAATTATGCAACTGAAAATGGAGTGCAGCTGGAAAGCAGCTGGGTTGGGGAAAAGCTGCCCCAAACCACAATTTGCAAACCACATTAGCATCTCATGAGTTGTGTGCTCCAAGCTATTGCCTTAGATCAAGGTTCCTCAACCTTGGCGACTTGAAGATGTGTGGACTTCAACTCCCAGAATTCCCCAGCCAGCCATG